TTTCATGTCTCTATTAAGGAAATAGTTCCACAAATGTGGTCCTCGATATGTAATTGAAAAGTCTGTTTTTCTAAGGGATGTTGTAGGGATGAGAAAGTTGCCAATGAAATGTCTTGTGGAGTATTTGTGATTAATTAAGTGAAATGAGGTTGAAAATATGTTAGAAGCATGTTGTTATGAATTCTAAACATAAATAACAGAATTTGTTAGATGTTTAGTTTATAAATATTTAAAAAATTAATTTTTTTAAGTAATGCATATCTAACTGCATTCAAAATTAACCAACCCGCTTGCTTTAGTTTCGTATTAATTTTTTTTAAAGAAGATGAATAATTACTTGCCAATGCTATATTGCAATAACTAATGTGACTATGAATAAATGAAAAATACAATCTTCTTAAGCACATTATATTCAAAAGGTGCTTCATTTTAAAAATGATCCCAAGAGCTTTTGAAATGCTGTTTTCGACTAGTTGGATATGAATTTTCCAGTTTAAATGATCGTCAAATATTATACCTAGAATTTTCATTGAATGAACTCTTTTTACTTTAATGTTGTTTATAAATAAATCAGGAGGTTTTTGGGGTATGTTATTGATTTTCGAAGGTTTCGTGAACAGAATGTATTTAGTTTTATCAATGTTTACGGACAGTTTATTGGCTTTGAACCATTCATTGAGATTAATTAGCTCTGTGTTTACAGTAGAAAAAAAAAAAATTTAAATTAAACTCCAAAAAAAAAAAAATTAGTATCATCAGCAAAAAAAACAAAATTAAGGAATTTAGAGAATAAGTGGATGTCATTGATATATAAGAGAAACAGCAGAGGACCAAGTATTGAGCCCTGAGGGACACAACAACTAATAACTTCTAACTGGGTACAAGTTAAATCATACGTCACGCATTGTATACAATTTTGTAGATAAGACTTTTTGTAAAAAAGTATTTTGAATTCCATAATTTTTTAATTTATAGAGGAGGATTTCGTGGTCCACAGTGTCGAATGCCTTTGATAAATCAACAAAAACTCCAAGTGTATAATTATTGTCATCAAATCCTTTCAAAATATTGCTAGCCAAATCCATCACAGCATGCTCAGTGCATTGATTTCTCCGAAATCCAAACTGTTTAGGATATAAAATATTGTTTTTATCAATGAAGTTATATATTCTATTATACATAACACGTTTGAGAACCTTTAAAAAACAGGAGAGAATTGAGATGGGTCTGTAGTTTGATTCTAAAGAATCGTCGCCATTTTTATAAATTGGAACTATTTTAGCAAGTTTTAATTGATCAGGAAAGTCCCCGTTTTTTAATGAAAGTTTAAAAATAATGAAAAGAAGTTATGACAATTAGATAATGTCAAAGAAACTTTTCAAAAACTTGCATTATTATTTCTCAGTGCATACTTATTGTCTGGCTTCAAAGTAAAAATACTTTTAAAAACGTCAGGAGATTTTTCCACATATATGCAAAACCTAGAGTATAATATAAATTAACTTCATAAATATTAAGTATTCGTTAAATAAAGGTTTTGAATGAGTAAAACGATCTGAAAAATTAATAAAACGAAAAACGTGTTTCTGAGGAGACGTTTTAACTTATTCTTTTCAGCACTTCCCCAAGCAATATTTGCATAATTTATATAATTATGGACAAACGAGTAATAGAGTTGGGTCAAACTTTTTTTATTTAGATAATCTCTAGATTTATATAAAATTCCAATATTTTTAGAAATCTTGGTACATATAAGATCAATATGCAGTTTCCATGTAATGTGCTCATTAATGTAGACTCCTAAAAACCTTATGACAATCCCTCTTAATCTCAATTTGGTTAATAAATATTTAAGGCAGATTTATGGGTAGGTAACGTTTTTTTTAAAGCGGGTGGAAAATGATCCATTTTGTTTTATTAGTATTAAGAGTTAATTTGTTACACTTGAACCAGCTAGATATTTTTTTAAGTTCGTCATTCGTATTACAAAACAGTTTGGAGATGTCAGTATTAGAAAGGTTAGTATCATCAGCAAACATAATGCTAAGTAGATTTGAAGCTTTATTTAAGTCATTAATGTAAATCAAGAATAAGAGGGGTCCCAATATTTCAAACCACTTTAAAGTTTTTTCGTTAATACCATAATATTAAATGCTTATGCAGTAAGATAATGTTTAAAAATAGATACTGTTTAAAAAAGCCTTGGATAGGTCAATAAAGATACCTAGTATGTATTGGGAGTTTTCAGACGATTTTGAAATTTCGCGTACAAATTAAAGATTGCAAGTTCCGTGGAGTTGTGCTTTTTAAAGCCAAATTGATTGTTGTATAATAGGTTATTGCATTGAAAATAATCATAGATTCTATTATACGAAATTCTTTCTAATATTTTTAAAAATTTAGGTAAGATAGAAATGGGTCGGTAGTTGCTAATAATTATTAATATATATGAGTTATATAATATATATATGAATTATATAGTAATTATTAATATATATGAATGGGTCGGTATTTGCTAATAACTATTGATATATATGAATAAGGGTCGGTATTCGGCAATGCCAAGATTGGCAAAAAATCGCCAACCTTGTTTCTATTTTTTATGGTAAAACTTTTGTTTCAGTTTTTTTTTGCCGACCAGATGGCGATCTTTAAAAGATTAAGGTGGGCAAATTATTTCCAACTTCCTTTTACCTAATTCCGAGGGCTGCAGAATAGGGATATGAATTTTTTTAAATAAAGTTTCCAATATAAAAATTTAAATGTTTTATATATATGTTTTAGTAAAAAAAATTATGAATTTTAAAATCACTAAAAAATTCTGGTTTTTTTAAGGGTCAAGGTTGGTAACCTTTTTCAAAAATTAAATAAAACCAATGACTTTTTTTTTATATAGAAAACTAGAGATATTTAAAATTTACCAAAAAGCAACACCCTATTGCAGAACTATGTTCACAAACAAAAGAAACCAAAAATTAAATGACGTTTTAAGTGCGTACATCTTAAAGAAGAAGAAAATTGAGTTTAAAGAAGAAGAAAATTGAGTTTAAAGAAGAAGAAAATTGAGTTTAAAGAAGAAGAAAATTGAGTTTAAAGAAGAAGAAAATTGAGTTTAAAGAAGAAGAAAATTGAGTTTAAAGAAGAAGAAAATTGAGTTTAAAGAAGAAGAAAATTGAGTTTAAAGAAGAAGAAAATTGAGTTTAAAGAAGAAGAAAATTGAGTTTAAAGAAGAAGAAAATTGAGTTTAAAGAAGAAGAAAATTGAGTTTAAAGAAGAAGAAAATTGAGTTTAAAGAAGAAGAAAATTGAGTTTAAAGAAGAAGAAAATTGAGTTTAAAGAAGAAGAAAATTGAGTTTAAAGAAGAAGAAAATTGAGTTTAAAGAAGAAGAAAATTGAGTTTAAAGAAGAAGAAAATGGAGTTTAAAGAAGAAGAAAATTGAGTTTAAAGAAGAAGAAAATCGAGTTTAAAGAAGAAGAAAATTGAGTTTAAAGAAGAAGAAAATTGAGTTTAAAGAAGAAGAAAATGAGTTTAAAGAAGAAGAAAATTGAGTTTAAAGAATAAGAAAATTGAGTTTAAAGAAGAAGTAATTCGAGTTTAAAGAAGAAGAAAATTTAAAGGCATAATTTTTAAGACTATTATGATTTTAAAAAAATAATAAAACTTTTTATTTTTATTTTTATTTTTATTGGCTTATATTTTAATATGATTTTTTACTATATAAAAAAATCATCCTCCTTTTTTTAATTTACAAATTTATTTTTCTCGTTTTTATCCACCTTTAGACAGGTGCACCCACCATTTGCAAACACGTAGTTTTAACTCAATATTTTTCTTTAAGTAATATAAATAAATTATCGTTAAGATATTGCTAGCATTGAAGCTACAATATATAGGTATCGACACGTATAACATCGTACAAAGCTCGATATGAAGTAACGTTTGCAGTTACAATTTCTCAATCTTTAAAGTTTAAATAATTTATATCATAATAGAGAACTTAATATAAAATAGTTTTTTTGTTATATATTAATTGAATAGCAAGTACATTTAATAACAACAACATCAACAACAACAACAACAGCAGCAGCAGCAACGACAACAACAAAAACAACAACAGCAACAACAACAAAAACAGCAACAACAATAACAACAACAGCAACAACAAAAAACAGGCCGGATAGCTAGTTTCTTTCTAATTTTTGTCCGATACTAATACAAGCACACTTAACCGAATGAATTTTTATTTTTAATGTTCATTAAAAATAAAAATTTTTCAACCATGGTTAAATAAAAAAAATATATATTTTTATAAATATATTTAACAAAAACAAAAAAATAAATATATTGGTTTTTATAAATATATTTAACAAAAACAAAATAATGACAAAAATTAAAGTTTTGCGCTCTGCGTGTGCCGTATTCATGTATGTCTATCCGTTAAGTTTAATGGAGCTATAGTCTAAATTTTCATAGCATCTTTTTTCTGTGAAGAAATGATAAAATCTTTTTTACAAATCTATTTTCAAAACTAAACGATTATAAAACCATGTTTTAAAGTAGTTTTTTTAATAATACAAAAACAAACAAACTTTTTAATAAAACATTTGAAATTTTTGACAAACGTTCCGTTTAGTTTAACAGAGAGATGAGAATACGCACGAAAACTATCAAAATTATTTTTTAGTATATATTTAGGATAAACCAAAGTTTGTTTATATTTCATAAGTTATATAAGTTGCATGTTTTTGTTATGAAGCGTTATTATAACTTTATTATAACTATAAAAGTTGTAAGAGAAAATAGCAAATTAATTTTGTTGTTTCCTCCAATCAGCTTACAAAATTATGAGGAATTTTATTTACATACAATTTTTATCTAGAATAAAAATAATTTCTTTGGTAAAATAAAATCTAAAATAAAACTTCTAAGGTAAATTATATCGCGTACATTCGATGTTAAAGTGCCTTATACTTTATAATGTTAATTTATATTAACTTACACACAAACATCCAAATTTGAACTTTCATTTTTTTTTTTCAAACTTTTGTAGACAAAGTGAGTTTTGTTAAGTTAAATTTTGAAATTTTTGTAGACGAAGCGAATTTTATTGAGTAAATTCTTTAAAGAAGAGACAAATCTTTTTTTAAT